ATTAATTATCGGCATTTTTATTTTCAAAATAACAGAAAAAACAATATGTGTTTAATTCTCTTGGCTATCACTCCAGTTTGAAAAATGTTATTAAGTTGAAATTTTATATTTACTTTAGTAACCATATACTAATGAGATCCTAGAAAAAAAAATTGATTTTTTGAACATTTTTAATGGCCTATTTTTGCAACCTAAATTTCATTCTCAGACCACTGTGCGTCGCCACTATGCTTTGATTACATAATGCCTATACTCTACTGTACCAATCCTCTCGGATAAAATCACTTTCAAATTAACGCTTTGATGTTTTTTTTGTAAATACAGCACCTCAACTTAATACTTTCTAACTTTGCTACATATGCAGCATTTATAGTTTTAACCTATACATTTTTTTCTACGACTTAAAGTCATTTTGCTAGTACATGCAACCAATTTAGACCTAAAGGCCTGACATAATTTTATTCTCAGACCACTGTGCGACGGAGAGGCAGAGGTCTACAGGAATTGTTATAAATAAATGTGATAAAAATGAAAAGCTAATAACCAGGTGCTCTAGTTTATGAAAATACTCCAAATTAAAAGAATATTTCCCATAAATAAAATGATCAAGGGGGACGGAAAGCGCTATTTATTAAGGGGCAAAGCATAGGCAATATTTGACAAAAAATGGTCTAATAGCCATTTTTTATATGCCTACTAATTTCAAGATGAACTAAATTATAATTTTCTAATTATAATACTTTTAAAGTTATTTTTCTCCGAGTTAATCGGAAAGCGTTAATTTGAAAGTGATTTTATCCGAGAGGACTAGTACAGTAGAGTATTGGCATAATGTAATCAAAGCAATGAGGAAACGGAGAGGTCACAGGTCTACAAGAATTATTATAAATAATAGTGATAAAAATTGAATAAAATCGCTTTTAAATTAACGCTTTGATGCTCATTTGTAAATACAGAACCTTCATTTAAAACTTTCTAACTTTGCTGGTTTATACTGTGCTTGGTTTGGACTGTACTGGCTTGAAAATACTAACTACCGATTTGCATCGAAGCGTTTTTTCGAAAGTGATTTTTCACTTCAGATTTAAAAATTCCTGTAAACCTGTGACCTCCCCGTCACCACTATGCCCCGACCCAACTATGCTCCGTCCCCACTATGCCCCGACCCCACTGTACTGGTTTTTTTTTTTTTAGTTACCAAGTGATTTTTTCCACTTAACATTAAATCCATATTTAGATTATTGATAATTATAATTTAACAATTCTTTTAATTGTACGAGTATGTATTTTATTTATATCAATCGGTTAAATTCTGTAAAATATATTTGTTTTATTTTGGAGATACAATTTTTTTTTAGTTGGCGTATAAAAAACGATATTTATCTGGAATTTCATCCTACCCATGTTCGTAAACCTCAATCATAAAAGAGTTTTAGTCATACAAATTTTGTTTTAAAGTAAATAAATAATTTTTTCGTGAATTTATTTAATTATACATTTATTGGAATTACGCAGTTCTCTGGTTTGTTTCACGTTAATGATTGTTCGATTTATGTTGGTCTCTAGTTTAAACGAATTTAAATTGTATTATCAGTTTTTTATGTAACCAGTAACGATGTAACGATGATATTAGTGTAATTAAATTTCAGGCTCTAGATGGCGCTTATCAAGATATTTTAGATTGTATCAATGCTGACCATACTCATACAGTCCAACAGAACATAACATTACGACAGTTTTTTTATTATGTGGAAAAACTGACAGATATGAGAGATTTTGCGGTGCTTGCGGCAGGGAAATATTTTGGCCCCAGAGAGGGTGAAGCAGTGCCATATGACCGTAAACATTAATTTTACTTCCTTTATCATTTAATAATAATTTTTAAGAAACTGTTTATTTAGAGTTAACGTAAAATAGAAGTGGTATTTTTGTTGTAAACATTGCTCGCATTTAACATTTTTTAGTCAGTTGTGCGGTGTATAGCTGCTGTTTGTATTCTAACAATGTATATAAATTTATCTATCGTTTTTAATCTAATGAAAGTTTTTTTTTCAGAAATTATAGAAAAAGATGACTTTTATGAGTTAATAACAATTATCAGTCAAGGATATTATCGAGCAATGAAAATAAGTGAATACGCACGTATTATAAGGATTGCAATACATCAAAGAAAAGCTCCAATAGAATAAAATACAATTTATTTAAATCTTTGTTAAATTGTGAAATGTTAATTTTCAACTTAATTAAATGAGTTTAAAACATACAATTATTTCAATGTATTTAGTTATTTGAGTATAACGTTCATCAATGGTAATGAGTACAGTACAAGTTACAAAACGACCATTTAGGACATAATATACCTAATCGGATGGAAATAATTGTTGTTCCGGGCTCGCTTACAAAAAAAGTCCTAAATCATTTACAAACAACAACGGTGATAAATACCCAGCCCTAGCAACTCTCAATGTGACATCTATTTCTATTGAGAGTGTACCGTTTAATTTAAATTCGTGCAAAACAATCAACTTCTGGATAAGGAAAAAGAAACTGTACATTAGAATAAAAAAGGGTACTTTGTTGATTCAGAAGATTTAAATGATCACCTCTTTCCCTTTGAACCTAAAAAAATACTCTTAAATATAATACCACTGAAGTATAGTGATAGCCTAAGATGACATCATAAAACGTTTCATCTAGAAGATATAAGCATCCTTTCTTAAATTTCTCTTGTTAGACATAGGTCTAAAGACTTATGGTGTACTAATTATACAATTTCATATACTATGTGTAGACAAAAATGGTAAAATGTCTGTTGTAACATGTTAAACATTTAATTCAACGTTTTCAAATAAAAATCAAAAGGTTTGATCCATCAAGCTGTTTTTGCAAGGCATATTTTTTTTTTAAGTTGAAAAATAATAATATTAAACCTTTATGTTTTATGTCAATAGTTCCCTACACTTTGAAATTTGCCTCATTCTGTAGATGTTTAAACGAATTTTCATATTTATTTATTTTGGCTAAAAGATGTTTTAAATCTTTTACACCAGTCTTACTCCAAAACTAACACAAGGGAAACAAAATAACGTTAATAATGGCTTTGTGGTAGTTTCACATCCACAAAGCCATTTGGACTTTAGATAAAGCCCAGTATTAAAATGACGAGTGTATTCATTTGGTCCTTTTTTCAGTGAAATTGGATGAACTTTGTGAAGGTCTACCTACATTTTTTATTTCTACTTTTTTTTCTAATGAAAGAAATTAAAATTTTAAAATATCTTGCACGGAATTTGTATTATTTATAGTAAAATACAACTTATAAAAAAAAAATAAACGTTAATAATAAGTTAATTAATTATAATTAAAATTAAAATAAGAAATAATATAGTCACCGTTTTCCTCTGATGTCCGTACACAAACGTATTTTATGATAAAATGATAACACTTATCAACAACAGCCGTCGCCGTCGAATTCATATAGGCCGCCCGAATATTGTGTGGTACAAAATCATCGCACATTATAGTTTATACGGCCGCCGCCGTCGATAATATATTATATTTATTGAATAAAGATACCACGAAAAATAATAACAAAGTATTCCCTAACATAAAATATCAAATCAATTATATTATTTCCACTATTTCGTTAATTCTGTAAGAGGTGCAGCCGACCATCGCACGTAGCCACTGAATATAGTGTTAAAATCAAATTAAATGTTGCTATGGTTTTTGGATGCATATTTTTTTACATGAGATTGTGTATACAATGGGTGACTGTTTGAACAAGTACACTAAAACAACAACAAAGTACGTTTTTTCTTATTTCAATAGGTAGTTATAGACAAATAAATAGCACGATTTACAATATGTTTTGAGAACGTTCCAGTGCTAGAAAATAAATACACAAGTTACTGAACACAATAATAACGATGATACAACTATAAAATATTTCTAAAAGGTTTTAATAGAATTTAAAAAATAAATCTAGTACAGTGGGTATGGAGTATAAGCCCAAAAATTATACTTATAAAAGCGTAAGTATAATAAAATAGTTCATGGCCGCGTTAGAAGGATTCAAATAAGTGCGATGCGACCAATTTCAGAAATGTAAGTGTTCATACAATTAAAGATTAAATTACAAAAATCTATCAATTTCTCTTTCCAAATTATTGTTACTTAATTATTTTGAATAATTTTCCGAAAAAAATTAAGTGGTGACTATCACATGTATAAAACAATATTCGTTACATACTTAATTTAGTCTTAATTTTAGGACTTAGTTCCAATTTTTACCCACACTCTCCCCTATAAAAATCGTAATTAAAGGAGTTTCTATTTCTTTGGTCGTAAAGGTATTAATACTGTTTTCTTGGTTTCTTTTTAACAAATCGTGATAGAATATACCGACTATACAAATGTATATTAATAACAATGTATTTAGGATGTAACATAGAATATGCTTTTGGTCTACACGCCAATCGTCCACTATTGATTATAGTAATATTATGTTAATTATTTAAAAAATACGTTTCTTCTGTTTGAGCTGTTTCTACAGAATAATATTTTCGTTCATTCAAAACTAATTGTAATTGATAAGAAAGCATCTTGATGTATACAACTACAAGACTATGACCTTTTTCGTTCTTGTGTCACAGTTATTTTCCTAATACTGTGTCAAACTAGAGTCCATTAGGTTGCCTATCAGCAAAGTTGTAAGGCGCTATTAGGGTGTGTTAGGTCGTCATATCCGCAAATTCGTTGGGTGTCGGCGTACCATCCCTTCAACTAAATTATACTTATTTAATCAAACATCGATTTTCCGTTTATAATAGTTGTGATGATAAATTAGTTAACAATATACAATACAATCTTTATGTCCAAGTGAAATTTTAAAACCATTTAATACTAAAGAATAATTGAACAATTGCATAAGTTTAATTACATTTTAATAAAAAATAACTTAAGTAGATACAATAGTATACAATATACCTAATGGCTAACATAAAAAAAAAAAATTATAGCATATTAGTATCAATTATTTTTGTTTACAATGTTTCGAATTAACATTCTATAATGTAGGTATTACAGTTTGTGTCAATCCGTTAGAATCACTTTTTATTGATATTTAATTATTCGTTTGGACAAGTACATAAATGTAGAGTTAAGTAAAAATAAATAAATATTTTAAAATTAAACACTAATTTTAATTGTAAACTTACATATTTTAAAAGTAATTTTTGCCCAAAGCCAACAGTAGTTATAAAAGTCTACAAACATTTTATAATAAAAAATAAGAACAGCAACAATTTGTTTTACTATAATGCATGTGTAAATTATGCAATTTAAAAATTACATTGTAAAAATATAAAAACTAAACATTTCATGTGATCCATCGAAAAATTAAATGGAAAACGTCATAGTTATGTAAATGATCAGTTAAACGTTAGTAATAATAAAAAAATTATAATCAAACTAATAAAAATAAATTGAATCTGAATTAAATCATAAGTAAAAAAAAATTGCAAAATTATAAGATACTGAAAACCTATTTTAAAACTGCCAAAGAGTGACGTGCGGTTTATGAGGGTTATGACCCGTGTGCTTTTGCTTGATGACTTTTGAGAGTATCTTGGCGACCATATGACGTACCGCAGACTGCGCATTTGTATCGTACCCCACCAATATGTATGCGTTTATGACGCTTGAGGTCATATTGTCTATCGGATGTTTTTTCGCAGACATCGCATTTAAAGCGCTTCTCACCGGTATGTGTTCTTTCATGAGTTCTGAAGGAAGCCTGGTGACCAAATGTTTTTTCACAGATATCGCATTTAAAAGGTCTCTCTCCGGTATGTATGCGTTTATGAATTTTGAGGTGATGTTGTCTACCAAATGTTTTTTCACAGATATCGCATTTAAAGCCTTTCTCACCGGTATGTATACGTACATGATTCTTGAGATTATGTTGTAGACTGAATGATTTCTCACAGAAATTGCATTCAAAGGGTTTCTCGCCGGTATGTATGCGTTCATGACATTTGAGGTGATATTGTCTACCAAATGTTTTCTCACAGATATTGCATTCAAAGGGTTTCTCTCCGGTATGTCTTCTTTCATGAGCTCTGAAGGAAGCCTGGTGACTAAATGTTTTCTCACAGACATCGCATTTAAAGCGTTCTTCGTCCGTATGAATACGACAATGTCTTCTAAGGGTTGATTTGAATGAAAAACTTTTTAAACAAATACCACAATTAATTAGGCAATCTTTGTTTTGAGTATAACCTTTGATGCTGCTGTTTCGGCGATTGACTTTATTTTTTTTAGGCACTTTCTTTAACTTTGAATTATTGGAATGCGATTTTGCAATATGTCGGGTTATATTAATTTTGGTTGCAAATCTCCTTTGACATTTACTGCAGTCGAACTGGCCTATTTTGTCTATATTTTGTTGTGATGTTTTTTTATTAGTTTCAATACTATTGCAACTCATGGTGTTTGTAATTTTTGAGGTATCGGTTTCATTACACGGAAAACTATTACTGCAACACGCATATAATAAAATGTGTTAATTTAAGATCAATATTTTATATTTTACACATAAAATAGTAATTCCTGATGTATTACATATATATATTTATATATATATCTTTTAAAATAATATTTTTAATACCAAACAATTATTTTAACCTAACCTAACTGGTCGATAACAAGTTTAAAATAGAGTCTTATGTTAATTATAATATAAATCCCTAAGATTTATAATATCTTAAAACCAAGCTAAGTGTAGAAGAAGGTAAATATAAGTGGAACAAGTTACTCAAGGACAGTTCATATTTCTCTTTTTCTCTTATACCTCACGTCAAAAATAACTGTTCGAACAATATTATCAGTACCATTATTATACAAAATTAAAAAAAAAAAAGGACATCATTAATTAAATTGTTTTTGAAATATTACAAAAACCATAAGAATACCAAAATTTAACAAACACCAACTTTATTTATATGGTTGTACATAATTTAAAAGTTTTCAGTTTTGATATCACTAATTCTTAAACGAGTTGTTTACAAAGTTTTATCTAAAACCAATACAAACAAATGTATTGGGATTTAGGAAAACGGTTACTTTGATACCAACGACGGGTTAATAGAGGAGGATGACATAAAAACAAAAGCTTAATAATTTTATTTAAGATAAAAAAAATGGTTATAAAAATCGCCTTACTCATAAGTATTATCGAATTCAATCTTAACCAAATACTCCTCCGTTGTAGAAATTTCATTCTTTATGAACTGCACATCAAATGGTTCAGGTTCAATAACTCCAAACGATTTTTCAAAAGAGTGTTCTTCTATTTCATCATTTTCTTGTTTAATTTTCAATATGTTATCCCGCTTCAAAACCCTATAATTGACATACAACTTAGTTATACATCTGTGCCATATGTGCATAAAGGATTAATAGCGCAACTTAACTTGATAATTTTAACTATTTTATTTAGTAACAAATATTTGTAATAAAAATGATATAATAAAAAAGACAGCTAATGTTCTAAGTTGCCAAAGCTTAAATTAAATTTAAAAAAATAAAGAATAATTTAATTTACATTGTTTGAAAAATAAAAACCAAATTAAATTTTCAGTGGTATATATAATGTATTTTTTAAACATTTAAAACTAAATTTTAACTTAAATTAGTTGAATAGGACAAAACTACAAGTATGACTTGTAGGTAGGAAATTAAGACAATAAAGATTAAAGCTTGACGATGGATCATTTTGCTGACTAGATTAATTGAAAGTGGCCACTGAGTGGCCGACATTCGACTAAAACCAACATATAGCATGCGACACATCGTTCAATATAAAATAATTCTAAGGACACCACTGAATTGAGAATAAAATTCTCAAAGACTTAATTACACAATTTTAACTATTTTATTTAGTAACAAATATTTGTAATAAAATAGCCTTACTCATAAGTATTGTCGCCTTCATTCTTTACTAAATACTCCTCTGTTATAGAAATTTCATCGTTTTTGAACTGCACATCTAACGGTTTAGTCTCAATGACTTCAAAGGAGTGTTCTTCGGTTTCATCATTTTCATGTTTAATTTTCATCATATTTTACAGTTTCCAAACTCTATAATTGACATTTAACATTAGTTGTATTTCTGTGCCTTATATGCATAGAGGTTTAATAGTACGACTTAAATCACAAATTTAACTATTTCATTTATTAACAAATATAGTAATAATGATATAATAAAGAATAATTTAGTTTACATTATATAAATAATAACAACCAACAAAGTTTTAAGTGGTATATTTTGTTTCTTTTCAAACAATTAAAACTAAATTCTAATTTACTTAAATTAGATAAATAAAACAAAACTACAAGTATGACTATTGACTTATAGGTAAGAAGTCAAGACGATAAAGATTAAAGCTAGACGTTAGCTCATTTGATCGACTAGATTAATTTAAAGTGACGTTCATCTTGTGCCATTCAACCTAACTCCGAGTAAATAATAAGTATTAAACAAACATACATAGATTATGATTCTATTTATTCAGTATTCTAAGTCATTATGGTACTGTCTCACTAAAAAAAAGATGGAAATTACATGATGCATCTTAGTTGTTTAAATTACTGAATTCGTTAATTGAGTGCCCTGACTTACAAAGACAAATACCTTTAAACGTCCCTCAAATAAATACCCAATTGTCACAATCGTTTTACTAAGCTACTTACCGGCAAAAATTACAGGTAACTCAATAAAATTTGATTTTTTATATAATGAATTCACTCGGTTGTAATATTTTATTAACTTGTAATTTGTACCTATCTTTTTTGTATCTTAATTGTAGTCCTTTTGCTAGATTAATTGTAAATTAACTGTGATGATTATATGTATCTTAGTTAGAGTTAATTTGCTTGAATTAATTGTAAAATAACTGTTCTGAGCTCAACTTTTGGGCGTGTAATACAAATAATAACAATACTAATAAAGATTAAAGCTAGACGATAGACCATTTTGCCGACTAGATACTTTAAAGTGACGTTAATCCGTATCACTCGACTCAACTCAGAATAAATAATAAGTAATTAACAAAAACCTACATATGATTTTATTTTTTCACAAGCAGTATTCTAAGTCAATGGAAGACAGAAAACACGGCAATAATGTATATAAATTAGAAATAATAAACAGTAAGTAGTACTCACACAACGTAGAACCCAGAACGTAGAAAAACTGATAAAAATGATTAACTGCAAAACGAAACTCAAACGTAACGCAAGTTGAAACAAAATAACGAAACACGACACAATATTTATCATAGAATTCAACTAAGTTATTATGATTAAAATCTAAAGAATCTCACGAATCGGACCCGTAGCAACAATAATGAAAACTAACTGTTACTATGGCACTAAATCTAATTTAACTAGTTATAATTCACAGAAAGGAGAGAGTAGAAAAAGAAATCTCAATTAATATCGAAAACAAAACTTGCATTTAATAATAATAGGTAATTGTGATTTTAATGCAAACTGCACGACAATGCTGAAACTTTCTAGACAGATTTGTGATAGTGTGTGTGTGTGATAACAGTGATTGCCACAGATGGAGGTACGCCGCAGCGTGGAGGTAAACTGTCGCCCGTTTTAGGAAGCAGAATTATTACTCTGAGAAGCAAACAGATCAAATTCCCAACTTATCAGCAATCAGTTTATTGATTTATCAAATAGTTTGTATAATTAATATAACGGCTATTTCATCAGATCAAAAACGACAATTAGCTGACACACTTGACCGTCTTCTTAAATTTCCGTGATGGATGTGTATTAACGCTAGATTTAAATATCAAAATGTAGCACATGAAATTAAATCGCTTAGTGGAAAGGATTTATAATTACACATTCGATTTGAATTTAAATGAAGAATTCAACATAAACTCGGAGAATCGTAATGTCCGTGTCAAAAACGCGAGCACAAAATATGAAATGATCATACATTTGTTAGGGTGTGTATACATAACGTTTTTAAATTTATCACACATTATAATATTAGAATGCAAAAAGGCAATAAGACGTTCTACGGATAACGCAGATAAAAAAATAACCAGAGATTGTGAAAAACTTGAAATACCTTTAACAGCCGAACAACGCGCACATACTCTTAGAGAATCGGTGTACTTAGTTTACCGGTAAAGTACATTTGTTCCCAGTTTTGACACTGCGATGAAACATTTGGAAACCCATAATTTGATGTTAGATTTTATGTCTACAGCACTGCGCTATTATGCAAAATTATTGTTATTTCAAAATGTTACAAATATTATGTAATATATATCTTTTTTCAAACAATTTATACTTTTTTACCTGCATACATTGTAGACTTATACCATTGGAATAGATACAAAAGTACTATTTTGTTGCTATTATTTTGGGTATGACGTGCATTTAAGATGGAAATCGGCTAAAATGATAAATGTGGGTACCGTAACAATAAAAAAAAAATACGATTTTATTTAAATAACAATATATATTTCCAAAATGTTAATATAAAAAAATCATTATTATTATCATTTCAGGCGTATGTATAAGTATAAGGTCTGAAATACATTATGAATATTTTTTATACCTTAAAGCATTAGAAACCCTTTTTTTTTCTTTTGACGTCCTTCGCCTTACGACGGTATTATGCAAGTGGTGTTCGAGTGCAAATCGTATTTAAAGCCGGAAGTAGTGTCGTGCGATTTGTTAAACTTTTCGACTATATCGTTTAATTTGACTTTTATTATATTCACAGCGTAAGTATTTTTATTGTATTCCAAGGCACTCGCGTCGCCAGTGAGTTGGTCAGCGCGTCTGGCTAATTCCCTACCAACGTGCAAAGCCCTCGCCGATCGCCGTTCTCGTCTCGGGTCCAACGGGAAGGGGACCGGCAAAAATGTTCGTAGAAACCGTTTAACACATTTGACGCGGTGGTCGCGTGGTCTTGGACGTTGGCGCATTCGGTGTCAAAGGTTTGCCAGGTACCTTGTTCGTCGTTTCTGGCCGGTCTTTTGACGGTGGTCTTTAGCCGGTAGTATTCCTGTAATTCTACCAAAACGTCATAGACTCCTGTTTCGAATGGCGTTTCGGTGGGCGACGAACCGCGCAGGGACGAAAGGGCGCCTTTCATGCGTGCAATCATCGGGTGTTTAGACTTGACTACCCGCAAGTAATCCTCGAGACAGTCGAACGCTTTCGCAGCCGGCACCAATTCCCTGCACTGAGCCCCCATGACGCTCTCGCGGTCGCAGTAGTCCGTCAGCAGCCTGGCGTACGAACAGCTCAAGAACTGATGGGCCAGGCGGATTATTTCGGACTCGGTTGCCTCGGTCACCGGGATCGCCCGCAGATCTAGTATGGTCTTTTCGATTTGGCCATCCTCCGTGCGCTCGACAATGTTGAGAAGGTGTTCCGGAGTGGCCATCGCCTGCCATGCGGGATAAGACAGCAGCTTGTTAATCGTGTCCGTGTGGTTCGCAATACAACACAATGCACACGACAAGACGTGTACAGCCGAGAAAAACAATAAAAACTTCATATTTTTCCACGCGGATTAATTAAAGGAATTTTTTTTTTATGTATAATGGTAAAAAATTTAAAATTGACAAGGGACAATGTCAATGCTTACGTGTCGCGTAGGTATCTAACGAGAAACGATATTCGTCATTTGTCGACTTTGAAGAACTTTCGCACGAGGCGGGCAGGGGGAGGGGTAACGTTTTCTCTGCGAAAAAAAACCAACAGTAATCGATGGCAACAGCTGTTTTCCTTACGGATATTGTTTTTTTTTCTTTTTTTTTTAACACAGGTTTCGACCTGATTTTGACATTTCGAACCAAAAGCAAAATATCATTCGGGCGGCCCTTCCTATAAATTGATAACCAGCTTTGAACAACTATTTCTGATGTTATAAGAGTTTAAAAGCTATTATAATTATTATATTATGTCTTAATTGGACACTGTTGTTCGAAGGAATAAAAGCACACTAATACCTTATATCTAATAACTAATAAGTCCTATGTTTTTCCTGTAATGGTCGTACAGTTCTAACGTGTTGATGGAATTTAAGAAAATATATTATACATTGTCGGGTTTTTTTTATACTCTAGTTAAGTAAGTTTATACTAGAGTAAACAAAAACTGAAAAACATGAATTTTATACAGTTAATGAAAATGAAGCTATTAGAGATATCAACAAAACCGACCTTTTAACCAAAACCTATTATTTCAAACGAGAATATTTATATGAAAAAAATAATGATAAACTAATTTATCGAACTAAATAATTAAAAATAGTCTTTACAATGCATTACGATTATTGTATAAATTGCATTTAATTTATGAAATTTAAAAAGGCTACGGCTCTTTTGCTTAATGTTATAATTACTTCAAAGTTAAATCAAATTCTATTTTACTAAAACAAAAAACAGCTTAACATGCATATCTTAATTCATTTACAGATTGCTATAAGAAACTCCAAATCCACCCTTCCCTAAATCCTTTTACCGAAGGGGGCAAATTACAATGGCCTTAAAATATCACTGTATGATAAAAGCCAAAAATGATACGTATATAGGTTTTATTATCATGCATTGAGTGTAAAATCAAACGTGTAAAATAATTGTAGCTAACAGTTGCAATATTTTCGTTTATGTAAACAGTGGAAAATGGCAACGCACATCAAAATATCAAATCACACAATTGTTTTTCCGAAGTAAAAAAAAATTGTTTCCGAGTTATCGACTATGCAAGAACTCGAGGCAGGTAAATCATTTCAAAATAAATGGGAAAGGGATTAAGTAAAAAATTCCAAAATGATGGCAAACACAAAATAACGTCATAAAGACGTTTTTGACATAGATCACATTTTCTACACTAAAATTAAAATTGAAGAGCCCCGGGTAAATCACCAACCAATCCAATGTCTCCGTTGTCAAGGTTTTGGTCATACTAAATCGTACTGTAACCACCCCCCCCCCCAAATGTGTCCGCTGTGGTGAACTTCACATCTCCGACACTTGCCAAAAACCTAAAAACCTACCTCCCAAATGTGCACTTTGTGGTGGAGATCATCCTGCTAAACTATAGAGGATGCCCAGCCTACAAAAAGATTCAAGCCGCTCACGTCTCAAAAAAGAAAATTCCAGCTCAAGAAAACCCTACTTTTTTCGAAAAAAATGTAAAATCTACTAACGTAAGCACTACTCCATTTATGAATTTGTCACACAAAAAATCGTATGTAGAAGCAACTAAAAACGCCCTCCAAAATCAATCTACCCCCCCTACCTCCGCCCCAAATACCGACCCTATAGCCTTCCAACTGGCGTCATTTCTTGATGATTTTAAATCTATTATTAATCCTTTAATATCTCTCCTCACTACTGTTACAGATAAACTTATTTTCTCTAACAATGGCAAATAGACAAAGTAATATCCATCATCCGATCGCAATCCTTCTTTGGAATGCAAATGGTCTAATCCATCAAAAAAATGAACTTTCCGCCTTAAAAAAATTGTGCAATAAAAAATACATTTTGAGGCGGTATACTGCATAAAAACAAACACTTAATCTGAATCCAAAAAACAACAGTCCTCTTCATAATTTGCAGGTAGTTGGACCTTAAATACTCATAGTTGACCTTCGGTAAGGTTATATAACGCAGTCTATAAAATAACGAGATAACGACAGTAGTTTTGTCGTATCAGAATCATTAAGTGTCTTAATAATTACACGATAGGTTTTTTTCCCAATAAATCGAGTGTCTACTACAATCAGTTACACGATTTAGTCGCCTGTGATATCATGTAATAAACACAATATTATGATACCGATCATTGGGCCCTAACCTAATCTAACACGGATAGACGTTACCAACTGATAGTTTTTAGTGTCTGTTCGTTTCTCACATCTGGTACACCGGGTTTTTAGTTAAAAAAAAAAAAATTGAATTTGTGTAAACTTTAAGTCAAAAGTGGTACTTGAGCACAAAACCTAATAGTATCATTCTGCATAGATATACGTAAAATTGTTTTAATGATTTCATCAATTTTTTTTAAAGATTTTAGGTGTTTTTGTTAAAATATACGAAATCTGCGAAAACACAGTTTCCCGGCAATTAAAAAAAAAAACTGTAGATGCCTTGAATTTTTTTATACCACGTATATAATTATGTTCTATGGGATACATTTCAACTCGATCCGACTCTTTTTCTCGAAATTATAGCCAGTAAAAGTTCTAACTTAAAAACTCGTACGGTTTTTTTTTGTTTTTTCAAATTTCGTCTGTGAAGAATTAAACTTTTTCAACTTTTACCCCCCCCTCCCCCAAAGTACCAACTAGATAAAATTTGTGATTTATAGAGTTGCTACTCGAAAGAATTGGTCCAATATTAAAAAAGTTACAGTGTATACAGATAAAAAAAAACACACACATCAGAGTAAAACCAATACCTTCTCGCTTTGCATCGAAGCTAAAATAACATTTTGCTATAAAGCGATTTTGTAAACAGGTAATTGATACAACTTCTCTTTTTTACGACCCATAGGCAGAAGCCACGATTGTTATTTTTTAAATTCAACATGAAATTTCAAACTATAATGAAAAAAATATATACATATGCGTTAATTGAGTTTTGCACTGAAACCGAACTAACAACACTGCTAGGCTAGAATTATATAATACAATAATTATACAATTATATTATATGAGCCTAAACGACTCTTAAGTGTTAAAAATAATCTATTAAAATAATTCAAATTTGGTGTACGTATAAAACTCGTTTTGAGTGAATGGAGACGGCATATTCCATGAGACTGATACCTCTCATACATCTAAAGTTGTAGTAAATAAGCAAAAACATATTTTGCACGTTTATTTTTTCATTTTTCCATTTTGATCGGTAGTACATGTTTAAAAACTATTCCATTCAAATTTGAAACTAATCCCACTGTTTTTAAAAAGTTATAAATAGTCGTAATGTTAAGTTGAGAAATATGTCAAATTTTAGGGGACTTTTAAGGGGAGGGGTAATTTTTTGAATTTTTGGCAGAACAAATAATCTTTTAGGTACGATTTCTAATCTAAAGAGTTGCTATACGAGGAAATCGGTTGTGCGGTTTAAAAGATGACCGTTTCCATTTCCTTGAAAATTATATAATTGTAATAGGTAAAACAATTACAATACATTTGACTTATTAATTATTTTATTTTGTTTTATAAAGACAGAATGTCATCGTTTCCTATTTCTTTAACATTAAATAGTTGTAATAGTTAAATAATTACAGTATACTTGATTTTTTGATAAGTTTATTTTGCTTTATTCCAGTTTAGTAACAATAAAAATAAGAGACATTTAGTTAAAGAAGTTCAGAGTACATTAAATATTTTTGATATAAACAAAAAGATAAGAACAATAAGAATAATAAGAAAAGTAACGTTATTTCAAACTCATTTACGATCTGTAGTCGGTTACAACGATCCCGCTTTTCTCATATCCATTATTACAGCATCATGAAACGTATACATATTAACAGCTTTATCTATAATGTTACACGCAAGAGGTTTCGGAAACTTATCTGTATACGAAAAGAAAATATTATTCTTTTTTGTTACATCGTAATAACGTTTGACCTTTTCTGTTGCTAATGTTTTTATATAATTTTCGACAGTGGATGCATAGCCTACCAATTGTTTTATTTCACTGTCTAGAATCGCTTCTTCTTTGGCTATCTTGTCTCCAAGTTCGTCCAACTTAATGAATTTTAGATTATGTAAAGTCATAGGCTCCGAACACCGTGTAAACATCTTATCAATCGATTCTAG